TACACACACACACACACACACACACACACACACACACACACACATATATATATATATATATATATATATATAGGAAAAAGCTTGGGTGAGCCCACTAGCTCATAAAATATTATAAGCCCAACAGCCCATAATGAATCTGGACCAATCTGACGAACACAGATATCTAGGGATATTTGAATTTTAATTGGTTTTTACAAATCCAAATCACTTGAAATTTTAGACGTGTATTCTTCTCATCAAGCCGTACCTAATAAAAATATAAAAAATTAATTTACAAAAAATGACCAAAATACCCTGAAACTTTTCGGGGGTATTTTAGTCAATTTATTTCATGCAAAAATTTTTTTTGATATTTTTCGAAGATTCACCTATTTTTTATGTACACATTCTCTAAATTTCAAGTAATTTAGATTTGTAGAAAAAACACTAAAATTCAAACACTATCGGACATCTGTGATCGTCAGTTCCACCCAGATTCAATCTGGACCGTTGGACTCATTTTTTCTTGTGAGCTAGTGGGCTCACCTGAGTATATATATAGTATGAATATATTTAAATATATAGATGTTTTAAGTTTAGGTGCGGTTTGTATAGAGCCTAGGCTCTAAACAATCAAATTAGAGCTTACCTTCAAATAGTATCGAGAAATGCAGTTTCAATACTGGAAATCTTTGTGATAACCTTAAAATATATTTTCATCTTTATTTATAAGGTTTAAAGCTTAAAAAATAGTGTAGATCGACAGATCTATGAAAACTTGAAAATCTTGAAAATTGACGGTCCAAAAATGTATTACAAAATACACTATTTTCCAAACTTGAAATCCATTTTTTGCTCATGCTCATGCATCTTGATGTCGAGATGATCAGTTTGAGGATATTTGGGCATCAAAGCAACATCTTCTAGTAAAAGTTTTGAGGTAGACTCAAATTTGATTGTTTAGAGCCTCGGCTCTATATAAACTTTTCCCTTTAATTTTTGGGTCGAATCCAGTTTATTATGGTTCCCTTACCTGGACCCGACCCTACCCTACCCTACCCGTTGCCACCTAGCCCACATGATGTAGATGGTATACTATCCCTTTTCTAAAATGCAAGACAAAACTTTGGAATTTCGAGTCGGAATCTTAAGTCAGTTAATCTCCACCGTTCGTCAAAAGGACTGAAGGTGAATGCCGCTGTGGTGCATTGATAACATACACGATTGTTGTTTGAGGTCCTCTCCCTTTCAAGAGAAGATACACGATTGTTGCTTGAGGTCCTCTCCCTTTCAAGAGAAGAGAGAGTTCTTGTAATGTCTACAATGTTGCAGAAAAATAACGTACAAATGTTTGGATTGAATCCGACAGTTCCTCCAGAAAAGGACAATCTTTTTTGGATAATACGAAAATTGGCCATACAGCTTTTGTGGATTTTTCTTTGCATTTGCATGTGAAATTTGCATTACACCTGCTGAAAATCACTTCTTGTCTCCTGCTTTGTCTCCATCAAGCTCTTCTTTTTATAATTGTAATTATCTTTTTCTTTTTCTTTTTCTCTTTTTTTTTTTTTTTTACATTTTTCAATTTCATCTACAACCATCTTTTTATAGGTGTACTATTCTTTTTGGCATTAAATCACATTAGATTTTGAAATTACCAACGGTTTGTAGAGGAAAAACATTATCATCATCCCAACTAGTTGAGGTCGGCTGATAATTGAAAAATAATTTGGCAATGTTAGTTATAGCTTTTATAAATATGGAATTGTATACAATTAGATCATTTACTTTTTTATACAAAGAGGTCGCAATTACTTATAACCATCTGATGTGAAATCTGATTGCTTGGGTGTGTAATAAAGTTCGAGAATTTTTTTTTTTAAGTTTGAACTTAAGCAATAGAATAAATGCAACCATCTAATTTCACATCTAATGGGTCAAGATTAATTATGACCACTTTGTACTAAAGATAAATAGCCTCATTGTATAATTTTCCAATAAATATTTTGTCAACTTTTGCAGTTTTCAATATGTTATTTTGTTTGGATTATTTTGAGCTGTGAATACAAGAAGCATAAATTTCTTGTACTTTGATTTATTTCAAATTTCTTTTGATCTATTTCAAATTTCCATGGAAAGTAAGAGGCCATGCGATCTACATGAATCAACTCATGGAAAAATATGTCATACGTATTAAATGTAATAAAATGGAGCCGTGCTCCGATACCACTCTGAATTGATCTGGACGACTCAATTCAAAATATACGGTCAAGATTGATGTGACACACCGGTCCTCACACTAGCATATTTAGAGATACAGGTGAATGTCACTGTAGAAATAATGACCACTTACGTGGTCATGCTTGTTTTCTTCTGCATTTCCCATTTGTCTTTATATTTTTTTTATTTTTAGAGGGATCATTAAAGTAGTCTTCCTTGAGGCCTATCATACACGGTGCTGTCTGCCAATAATAGCCAAAAACATGTACACACAAATTTTAGGTCTATCTTAGATGTAGTAAAAGTAATAAATAAAATGAAGGATATCAGTTTTGTTATCTTTCAGTGGTTACTTCAGTTTGCAAATTATAACCCATTTTTCCTTTTTCCTTCTTTCTATTCGTGTTCATTTCATATTTTGGATTTTGATTGCAGGCCGCTTTCAGATGTTTCGAGTGATCTCACAGTGAATATCGGAGCAGCAAATTTTTCGCTTCACAAGGTACTGATAATAATTTGTAAATTCCTTCTATATGATCACTAAAAACTTTCATTAAACTCTTTTTAAGTGCAAGGATGAAATCTTACTATAGAAATTTCAGTGCATTAGTATCCTGTTTTCACTCTTTCCAAGATTTTCAAGCTCGAAGAACTGATTTCCCAACAATTTAACATTCTTGAACTATGAACAAATCTCCTATTGTCCTTTTTCTTTCTCTTTTGTGTGTTATAGGTTTTCCTTGATATTTCAAACTTAAAAAGAGTCCCCTAGTTTCTGCATTCTGCAATCTTGAGCAAAATGACTGCTCTTTTTTACATTTACAGGGATATATATCAGATGCATGAATAATAATCACAGCAAACACCGTCATTCAATGTACTTGAGTGCCATCGTTTCAATCTGATCTGTGTTTCTCTTTTTCTTCGAACATTTTCTTTGTAAAATAAAAACGGAATATATTTCATGGAAAGTTTTATTACATAAAAAAGATTTGACTATGATCCTAGTAAGCTAGTCGATAACAAATTTTAGTCTTCTGGTTGTTTCCAAATTTTCAGTTTCCACTGGTCTCTCGGAGTGGGAAAATCCGGAAAATCTTAACAGAAGCAAAGGACTCAAAAGCGTCAAACATAACTCTCCATTCATTTCCAGGTGGCCCAGAAGCCTTTGAGCTTGCTGCCAAGTTCTGTTATGGCCTAAACATAGAGATCACACTCTCAAATGTTGCCATGCTAAGGTGTGCATCTCAATTCCTAGAAATGACAGAAGACTTCACAGAAAGGAATTTGATATATAGAACTGAATCTTATCTCAAAGAGACCGTGATCCCCAATATTTCAAACTCCATAGCTGCACTGCACAATTGTGAGGGCTTACTACCATTTGCTGAAGATACCCAGATCATAGGTCGATGCATAAATGCAATCTCTTCAATTGCCTCTAAAGAACAGCTTACCTCAGGACTATCGAAGCTTGAGAGCAATTCTCTCTCTAAACCCAACATGGCTTTGGATTCCGAGGCTCCATCAGACTGGTGGGGAAGTTCTCTCACTAAACTTAACCTCGACTTCTTCCAAAGAGTAATGATCGCCCTGAAATCAAAGGGTTTGAAACAAGAATTGCTAAGCAAGATTCTGATTGATTATGCACAAAATTCTCTTCAAAATCTTGGACTCAAAGATACGCATGTCACAAAAGGAACAGGAAATGAGGAACCTTTACACAAGAAACAGAGGGTTATTGTCGATACCATTGTCAGTTTACTGCCAACCCAATCAAGGAAGAGCTCAGTTCCAATAGGGTTCCTATCTGGTTTGCTAAAAGTGGCCATAATGGTGTCTGCAAGCTCTAGTTGTAGAGCTGAGCTAGAGAAAAGAATTGGATTACAATTAGACCAAGCAATTCTAGAAGACATCCTCATACCATTAAACTCAAATAGTAACGGGTACCCAACATTTGAAACAGAAACAGTGTATAGAATTTTCTCTATCTTTCTTCAATTGGATGATGAAGATGATGAAGGGGAACAGCTCATGAGGGACGAAACTGAAATGGCTTATGAATTTGATAGTCTGAGGTCCCCAAAGCAAAGTTTATTCTTTAAAGTATCAAAGCTCATGGACAGTTTTCTTGCAGAAATTGCAGCTGATTCGAGTCTTTCAGCTTTGAAGTTCATTGCCATGACTGAGTTACTACCGGACCATGCTCGCATGGTTACCGATGGATTATACAGAGCCATTGATATCTTTCTCAAGGTTCCCAACCTTGTTTTATCCTTTGCATCACTTTTCTACTTTCTTTCTGGTTACTGGTTTCTGAAGACACAAACAGGTCTTCTCTTGCCTTTGAATTAAAGCAGAAAGATACTCATGTTTTCTATACTTGAAAATAAAATGATCAGTGTGTCTGAATTGAAACAACATGCCTCCTGAAATTTCTGTGATCCACTGAGGCATTTGTCAAGACACCAGAGGGGCATATTAGGATCATCTTTTATGCATGTTATGGAACATTGGTATTTCTTATTATATTCATAAACATTGATAGTCTCTTACTAAGACTCATATTTCTTAAAAAAAAATTGTCAAACGAGATCATGCCTCTTAAATAACGGAAGCATGATCCTGTATTTTGGATTCCCATGAGAAATTTATCAAGGGCCAGTGTGGTAATATTTTGGAATCAGATATGCCTATTTTCAGAAGCACTGTTTTGTTTTGTAATTGTAAGAAACATGAGTAGCTTTTCTGCCACATTTTATCTTTCTTTCCAAGATGTTGCTTATTTTCATAGAATTCCTATAAACCAAAATGAATTTGGCGATTTTCCCTGCTGAAAAACTCATACAAGAAGCCTCTAACTTTCATTTCTTTGCAGGTCCATCCTAATATCAAGGAATCCGATCGTTACCGCCTATGCAAGACCATTGACTGTCAAAAGCTATCACAGGAAGCTTGCACACATGCAGCTCAAAATGAAAGGCTCCCTGTTCAAATGGCAGTCCAAGTCCTATATTTCGAGCAAATACGTTTACGAAATGCCATGAATGGTGGTCATGACCACTACTTTGGAGCATACAATACCCACCATACACAAAGATCAAGCAGTGGAGGAGGAAGTGGAGCCATCTCTCCTAGAGATAACTATGCATCGGTTAGAAGAGAAAATAGAGAATTAAAGCTCGAGGTTGCAAGAATGAGAATGAGGCTTACTGATTTGGAAAAAGACCATGTCTCTATGAGACAAGAAATGGTAGTGAGGTCTAATCCTGCACATAAGATGTTGCATTCATTTACAAAGAAGTTGGGTAAGCTAAATTCTCTCTTTCGAGCAAAAGATAGCAAGCCAGTGACTTCAAAGTCGACTTCGAGTGGCAGGTTTTTGTTTCAAAGGAGGCGCCGCCACTCTGTGTCTTGATGGTCCCCTACAAAACATTTTTGTTTTGGGTTTTGCTAGAGCTAGTACAGTGTTGTAGTATTGTGTAAATAGTATTTTGAAACTAGGTTATCCTAGCAAAGAATATGTTTTTGGGGAAATGTGTGTGGTTTTGTGGAATTTGACAGGAATTAATTCAAAATGCATCTGAAGAGTATGAAGGATAGCAACTTATTGTGAATGAACACCACAAAAAAGATCAACTGGTTCTGTCATAAGACTTAAAGTGGGTTCCAAATCTTACTCAAGAGCTTTTTATTGACAATTATAAGTTTTGTGGAGGATTATTATAAAATCAATTAATGGAATCACGGGTTTAACTCCGCGTAAAATATACTGAATGGATGGCTATAATTGAAAAATGGCATCCACTATATCATTTAGAAAAGTATACAAAGAGACCATTTACTTTTAATACAAGGAGGTCATAATCAGTCTTGTCCTTCAAATTCAAATTGGGTGCTTGTAAGTCTTCATTGACTAGACTTAAAAGTTCATAGAAAAACTTCTCGAAATCTGTGAAACACCTTAAGCCATCCAATTTTACATCTAATGGCTATTGTTTATCTTCACCATCTGTTATCACAAGAGATGCTGGATATGCCGAAGTTGTACCATGTACCAGACGCAGGTGACTTATGACATAATTCATTCAATTTTGCGGGAGCCTTTTTTTATCGTTACCTTGTTGCCAAAAGATTTTATGCTCCAGCAAGAGCATATCTTATGTTCAATCCCTCTGGTAAAACGCTATCTAGGAGTATTTTTAGGACACCAAATTTTGGAGATGTAACTTCCTTAGCCTACCGACCAAACTCTCTAAAAAAAAAAGGTTGGTGCCTGTTAAAAATAATGTCCTGAGATTGAACAGAGGCAAGAATGAAAAGGGCCACGAATATGAGAGTATGAGATATTCGAAGCAAAATGTGATTCCCAAAGTATCAGAAGACAGAACTCACAGACAGTTTTCCTTGAAGAAATTACAGCTGATAAGAATCTTTCACCTTCAAAGTTCAGTGCCATGGCTGAATTACTGCCAGACCATGCTCACATTGTTACGAATAAAGTTTACAAAGCCATCAACATATTTCTCAAGGTAGCAACCATCATATACTGGCACCCCCTTTTCCTTTGTTCTTATTAAATATATTGCCAAATTCAGTCTTGAATTTAAAACAATTCATCTAGTTGGTTTTCCAAGATGGGTATGAGGTTTGTTCCTCGTGTGTCTTCTTTAGCGTTGGTTTCTTTCATTTTTAGCAGACATCCATTTCTCTGCAGGTCCATACCAATATTTACGAAAGCCAATGTTATTGGATCTACAAAACTGTAAACTGCCAAACATTATCAAATGAAGCCTGCAACCATGTTGCTCAAATGAAAGGCTCCCAGTTCAAGTGGCCATTAAAGTCCTCTATTTAGAGCAAAACAGGCTGTGGAACAGTATGAACAGTGGCTTCGAACAATGTTATGGACCACGCAACCATCCTCAGAGATCAAATAATGGATGAGGACATGGAGTCATCTCAAGGAGAGGCAACTATGAATCGGATCTCATGTAGAGGCAACTCTGAATCGGTCCAAAGAGCGAACGGGTAGCAAAAGGAGGATGTTCGATGCACAAGCACAATTCCCTCTTTCACAAAGAGGTTAAAGAAATTCAGTCCCTTAACCTCCTCCTCCAACTCCTTGTTCTCTTTTTGGATTACTTGAAGATCTTTTTTCTTGTATAAACCATGTATTCTTGGAGGGTGGTATTGTATATATTTTATTGATGCCCAGTTGATTCTAGGAATCTTCTCCGTTTCTGCTTTTCTATGTTGTCTTCTGTAAAAAAGGGTTATGATTTTGTCTCTTGCTTTTTATTGGCAACCAATTTCATTCAACAACAAGTTCATAATCCGCATGAGTGGAAGGAAGAGGAATGATGAAAGTACTATGAATATATCCTTAAGGGTTTTCACCCACCAGTGCATCTTAAATTCATTTCACGGAGAACTCACATAAAGGAAACGTACCCTATCCCCATGATGGGGACGGGGTGGAAGGGTGCACAAGCAGCCTTCCAATGGCTGAGATTTCATAAGGCCATATGAATAATTGATTTAATATTTCATTTTTTTATTT